ATCTAGGGTGAAACAGATCACCAGCCCAGGTTGGGTGCATGAGACAAGTGCTCGGGCCTGGTGCACTGGGAAGACCCAGAGGGATCGGGTGGAGAGGGAGGTGGGAGGGGGGACCGGGATGGGGAATACATGTAAATCCATGGCTAATTCATTTCAATGTATGACAAAAACTACTGCAATGATGTAAAGTAATTAGCCTCCAACTAATAAAAATAAATGGAAAAAAATAAAATAAAAGCTTTGAGAGAAAAAAAAAAAAATAGAAACAGATCCAGACATAGAAAGCAAACTTATGGTTACCACAGGGGAAGGAGGGGGAAAGGATAATTTGAGAATATGGGATTAACAGACGCACACTCCTATATATAAAACAGAAAAACATCAAGCATTTACTGTACAGTGCAGGAAACTAGATTTAGTATCTTGTGATACGCCATAGTGGAAAAGAGTCAAAAAAAGAATACATACATATATGTAATTATATTTATAACCAGATCACCTTCCTATACACTAGAAACACAATATTGTAAATCAATGATAATTCAATTTTTAAAAAACAAAAAGGAAAAAATAACACTCAGAGGACAGGGAGAGAATACCCAAAATGTTAACATTTCTCATCTCTTTATATTTCTCTGAGGCTCTCATTTTCCAAAATGAGGCTATTTTACTAGAACAATCAGTAAAAAATAAAGTAAAATGTTTCAGGAGGAAGAGATTTTGCCCACCTACAAGTGATTCATCTTTCCTCTCTTTGCTCCCTCATTTGCCCTGAACCTTGTCCACTAAACTCATAGACTGCCCCAGGGATCTACAAGTTTTCTACATCGTTGTGTATTTCATAACATGTGGTTTCCCCCTCTTAGGAAGTGTTGCTTCTTGAGGTTGTTAGACTTATTTCAAGAAAGCACTTAACACAGTTCCTTAGTAAATATGTGAGAAAGGAAGGCATCACTCTAGACATCACATCTACAATAGTTCATTTAAGTGTCACAAGCAGACCTTTAGGGTGGCTCTTTGACGGATTTATTATTATTCCCTTTTGTATAGCGTTAGCATTATTTGGTAGCTTGTTCAAGGTTTCCAAGTGCTATTGACTGAATATGTATCCCCAGAAATTCATACATTGAAACCCTAACTCCAATGTGATGGTATTAGGAGGCGGGGTGTTGGGAGATGATTAGGTTTACATCAGGTCATGAAGGTAGAATCCTCAGAGCAGGATCAGTGCCCTTCTAAGAAGAGGAAGAGACACCAGGGCCTGCCTCCACCATGTGAGAGCACAGCCAGAAGCCGTCATCTGCAAGCTGGGAAGCCAGTTCTCACCAGGAGCCCAACTCTGCTGGTGCCTTGATCTCCAACTTCTAGCCTCCAGAGCTGTGAAAATGAATATTATGTTGCTTAAGCCACTTATCCGTGGTATTTTGTTAGAGCAGCCTGAAGTGACGAAGACACAGAACTAGTGTTTTAGCCAATATGGGCTTCCCTGGTGGCCCAGACAGTGAAGAATCTGCCTGTAATACAGGAGGCCTGGGTTTGATCCCTGGGTCAGGAAGATCCCCTGGAGAAGGGAATGGCAACCCACTCCAGTATTCTTGCCTGGAGAATCCCATAGACACAAGAGCCTGGCAGGCTATAGTCTATTAGGTCACTGCAGTAATAAACTACTGCAAAATCTCAGCAGCTTAACACAACCAACAAGTATTTATTTGTTGCTTGCAGAGTACGGTGCAAGACAGCGGTGAGAGGAGAGGGTCTCTGCTTCACACCATTTCCCAGGGGCAGCTGCCGTCTCGAATCTGCAGCCTCCAGGACACATGGTCTTAACGGCCTCGGCAACAAGGTTATATGGCACGGAGGAACTCCCTCCAGTTACCCCAGGCTCCACAGTCATGCAGCTTAGGACTGCTGGGCAGAACTGCTCACAGGGCTCCTGAGAGATCTTCCTGCATGTCCAGAGGAGGAAAATGAAATAGGACTCCGTGACCACTAGTACTGTCCACCACAACTGGTATATAATGAAACCAGAATCCAACAACAGACCCTTCAGCTCCCAAAATCCCTGCTCTTCCCACTACAATGTCAGGCCTCCCCAAACTGACAGAGTTTGCTTTTCATTAAAAGAAAGAATTTTTGTGACAGAATAATTTATAGACTATGACTCCTCAAGGAAACTGATATGGAAAATGGCCATAGTGAATGTTTTAGATTTGCAAAACCAGTCATGTATGGATGTGAGAGCTGGACCATAAAGAAGGCTGAGTGCTAAAGAGTCGATGCTTTTGAACTGTGGTGTTGGAGAAGACGCTTGAGAGTCCCTTGGACAGCGAGGAGATCCAACTAGTCCATCCTAAAGGAAATCAGTCCTGAATACTCATTGGAAGGACTGATGTTGAAGCTGAAACTCCAGTACTTTGGCCACCTGGTGCGAAGAGCTGACTCATTGGAAAAGACCCTGATGCTGGGAAAGATTGAGGGCAGGAGGAGAAGCGGACAACAGAGAATGAGATGGTTGGATGGCATCACTGAATCAATGGACATGAGTGTGAGCAAACTCCAAGAAATAGTGAAGGACAGGGAAGCCTGGCCTGCTGCAGTCCTTGGGGCCACAAAGAGTCGGACACGACTGAGCGACTGAATAGCGACAAAGCATCACAAGATTGCCTTTGGGAAAACCTTAAGCACCGTCAGTGAAACCTCTACAAGTTGCACCCAGAGGGTAAATGTCTATGAGACATTAACATCACTCCAGGCTCTAAGGGAAAAACCACTGGGGATGAGGGCAAATCTTCACGGAGGAGATTCTGGTATGCTGTTAACCAACCATCCTAGTCCATCAGGACACTCCTCGCTTTAGCCCTGAGTTCCATTTTCCAGGACACCCTTCAGTTCCAGAAAAATGCTCAGTCACTTGGTTGTACATTGATACTTTTTCTCCCTGACAGCTCCTGCAGGCGTCATCTCAAGTGGCTCAGTAATCTCTGCATGAAAATGCACAGTGATCTGAGAAAGTAAACTTGGCCCTGCATCCAAGAAAAACTCGGGTGGAAATAGCACGTGAGAATAAAACTCTCTCACAGGCAAGGGCTTGGGAAGCTTCTCTTTGGATATTGGCTCACTTCAGCAAAGCAGTCCTCCTCAAGGACTTGGGGAAAGAAAAAACTATGACTCTGCTCCTACTTCTGCATCCTGACGTGCAGGAGGCTTTTCCCAGCCAAATACATCAAGGATTCATACTGAGTTTATAGATACATCAACACCTCGATGTTTTTCAAGTCAAATGTCATTAAAACCATTCAAGTTTGGTGTCATCTTGAATTTGTGCTA